CCCCCCCCCCCCCCCCCCCCACTTCAAACCACTGGAAAGTAAAGCTAAGAGTCTGCTCTGCTTACCTCCCAACCCCATCCTCATCTCAGGAGGGAGAGGGTGACAGAAGTGGACAGGGATAGAAGTGGAGCCAACATCAATGAGCAAGTCCCTACCAGAACTGAGAGAATAGGGACCCCAACATCAGAAACAGGAGGATTCCCCACTGGAAGTAGAAGACCAGACAGAAAGAAACATATACAGAGACTGGGGACTGAAATGCAGGAATCTTGGTTTTGGGGGCTCCGAGATACTGATAGAAGAGATGCTCCAGTGTAGGGGTAGAGCAGACAAGAAAGCAATCACTGAGTGCCCCACATTCCCTGCCATGAGGGGCACAAAGCAGATTACTGTAGGATGCTGGAGGACCCAGGGATCCCTTGTTGTCCTATGTAGAGCATTTACATGTTACAGGAGAAATTTATTTTGAAGTGCTTCTAAATAGTACCCACTTCCTTCAGAGTTACCTTCGGAACACTTCAAGGATTGAATCTGTTCATACCCTTGCAGTGGAAGAGGCAGAAATGTAGAGTGGGAGCCAGGTATTTAAATGCATGGGAAGTCTAGGGTCAAGGGGTGGGAACATACTGGCACTGGTTAAAGAGAATGACAAAAAGCAACTGGCTGGACAACTAACAGCAGGCGACCTGGAGTGGAAGCCTAGGTGGGGACGAAGCAGAAACATAAAACAGTGAGAAAATAAGGGCCCTGGGCAGGTGTTTTATTTGTAGTGATATAAACACCACTGTACTGGTATAAAGGTTGAGGGAACAGACATTCATGCCCCCAGTAAAACTGCAAAAATGGCACCAGTGCTACAGAAATATTCCTGCAGCACAACAGGAACTTCTGTTGCAGCATGTGTTATAGCACCACATTTAAAGTCTCTGCAATCATTTTTTTTATAGTGCTCAAGCCAGGTGTCTGTAAGGAAAAAAAATATTTACATAGTAAGTTGGCAGGTAATTCACCCTTGCACCCAAAATTTTCCTTCTTGGGTTATTTCCAAAGTTTCCAGCTGTGGATTACTAGAAATCTCTATGCATCCATCTCATTTCAGCAGTTGTAAACATGATAACCAGAGAATGGAGATAGGCAACCCTACCAAATGAGGGAGAACGGAAAAAGAGAATATAGTACATATTCCCTATGGAAAAGCTATCTTATTCACTAAAAGACAGGTATGAGGACTTGTTGCCCTGGCACAGCTATCCAATACAAGAGGACTATAAAAGAAAAGCGCCCGTTAATGCTGCAATGTGGAGAGAAGTATAGCAGGCTGCATGGCAGGAGCTGCATCTGCAAGCCTGCTCTGGAGGACCGAGCCTGCTGACAAAGATAATTAGCTTGCTCCATGGGAGTTAAAAGGCTCCCAGAGAGAGCCCAGGGGAGAGAGACAGGGAGGCCATGGAGTGGGGGTGGAAGCCTGAGTGAGGGAGCTCTCCATGGGTCTGAGACACTGTGAAGAAACCCAGAAAGATGCTGAGAGACTGAGTTTACAGAGAGACTGGGACTCACTAGAGTGAAACTGATGGGGATAAAAGAATGCGAGCTGGCAGTAGCATTCAAGCCTGGGCACTCACAAGCCCAAGCACTCTTGTTGGTCTGGGAAAAGACCACATGCTACCTGTTTGTTACACTGCTATATGTTGATTCTTGCCGGGTGGGAGTTTGCCCCGGGGAGGCAGACAAATAACAACCGCAAGCAATGAAAGACTGAGCTAAGCAAATCCCCAACCTGCTATAGTAATGTCTCTTAAAAATGAGAAGATAGAATGAGATGCAGTCCTGTCCTCCTCCCAAGCAAAACCTAACATACAGTGAGCACAGAAGTCATTGAAACGTGTGTACATTATCAGAGTTTATAGCCCAAAATTGATTTTTAGGGGCAGGTGAAGAAAAGACGGTGAAAAGTTTCATAATTCTGTAGGGTCGGAAGGGACCTGAACAGATCATCAAGTCCGACCCCCTGCCATGGGCAGGAATGAGTGCTGGGATCATAATATCCCAGGTATGGTTATGTGGTTGTGTTAATAAAGGGATTTGGGTTTGTTTTTGTTTTTTTTGTTTTTTGTTGTTGTTGTTGTTTTTTGTTTTTTTTGGTTTTTTTTTTTTAATTATACTGTCTTCAGTACCTGATCTCTCACAATTTTTCCAAAGCAACTTGCCTCGGTGCACAAAATGGATCTACTTTGGGGATGAATATGTACAAATATTGTTGTAGTACCTCTGTCTCATTTGCTGAGGAAGACTGAAGCTGGATATTGCCACTACCATTACTGTAGAACAGAAAACAAAGGATGGTCCAGTGGCCAAGGCGCTTGAGCTGAATCCCTAAGGGAACTGAATTTGATTCCTACCTCTGCCACAGGGCTCCTGTTGCTCAGTGAACGCCAGCCATTCTGAGCACTGAACGACACTGAACAGCATGTAGTCATTTAAAGGGTGCCAAAATGGAAGCACAAAATAGACACAATTTGTGGTTTCATGGACCAACTTATTTCTGGCATGTTAAAATTTCTGAGCGCTCAACTTTCCATCTCAAATGTTAAACCAGCACTGCAGACAACAAAGCATTTAAAAGTAAAGGCCATAAGCCTCACCTACAGAGCTGTTTTACATTTGACAGAGAACTCCATGGACCGCTACCCGTCAACCCACAACTGAATGCATACGGAACTAAGGATGAACAGTATGGCCTGTAATGTATTTCATGGATGCTTTATACATACTATGCTGCAAGTTTTAAGTGTCAGCATTATTAAATGTCCTAGGTAGAAAAACAAACAACAGATTGTTAAAAATTCAAAATTTCTTCAGAAGCAGGAAGGACTACACTTTAAAAAGAGATTGTTCCCACCACATAAAGATGTTCCTTCAAAGATTATCCAAATGAAGCCGGTGCATTTTAAGGTGTTTTGCTACTAGTTTTTCAGTTTCAACTCCTGCTACTTGCGTTTCCCAAGTACAAGCAGCAATTTTTATTTTTGTTAAGGGCAGACAGAAGGAAGCCATTTAAATCAAGTTTTTGTTTTTTGGTTTTTTTTTTTAAAGCAATGATACAAGCCCAACCACCTGCCACTGAGAACAGGAATGGAATGATGCCGAGAACACTGCAGCAAAACAGATTAAGATTATACTGCGAAGGGGAGGGGCAGGGGCAATAAAGCTTCCTTACTGGCAGAGGAGTAGGAGAGTGGAACAAGCTGCCCAAGAAAGTTGTGGAATCTCCTTCACTGGTGGTTTTCTAGAGGCTGAATAGATATTTGTGTAGGATAGTGTAACAATAACATACCCTGCATTTGTGCAGGGGCTGGAACAAGTGATCCCTGAAGTCCCTTCCAACCATGATTCTATGATCATGGCACTATTTTCTTTCACTTAGCTCAAAGCAACTACATCCCAATTAACCTTCTGCTTCAGTTTCCTATCAGCTTCATAAGATGGTGTTACTAATAATTCTCATTTAAGCTTCTGTCCAAGATATAAAAACTAATGAAATTAGATTTATAAAAACAAATGGAGAAAATATATTAGAAATCCAAACAGTTTTGGGTTACAGACTCCCTCAATACCATTATTTGGTCCGCTGTTCTTGATTGACAAATCCATTTCCGATTTCTACTTTGGCCACCTATACCTTCTGAGGTTTGAGTCCATAGCAAAGAACTAAATGAAACATAATATTTAAGGAAAGGATGGCAGATTCTGCAAGTCTACACTACTGCTCTCAGAAAGCAATATTTTGAAAGGGAAAAAGATAAAAGGAGCAATTAAGCTCTTTCAACACTACTATTTAGTCAGGAATTTTTGGTCAAAACATTTTTAAAAAATCCTTTTGTTTCCTCAGGTTCCCTCTTTTACATTTTCAAATGGCTGGTTAGAAATTACATTCCAGAGCCCCAAAACCTAGTTAATATCACCTCCCCAACTGCATAAGTGTAATATAGAAGGACCCTGATTTTCTCTGTTTAAAAGTTGCAAATTCTCTGATTAAAACCCCCCAAAAATCCACATTTTTCCACGATTAAAATGAATAGTCACTGTACAGATATCCACTGAACACAATGTTTTATTTATATATTTACAACTTTAAAGCAATTTGGAAGCCTAACACTGCCTCAATCATTATAATAAGATACATTTTTATACCTATATATTTTGGCGTTGTTTTTTTTTTAATCACAGAAAATCAGAGCCCCCCCTGCACCCTTCACTCACTAGGATGCTAGTCCAGCTGAAGCTTTGCCCCCTGCTGCTTTTTGGCACTGAGAAGCCCCGATATACTGGTGCCCCTCAATCCCCACCCACAGTCCCCTGGGCCCCCCCCAAACCCTGCCAGAGGGTGCCCCCAGCTGCCAGGGCTATAGGACATGGGCCAGGGCCCGCAGCACGCTGCCCTCGCACCCTGAGTCCTGGCTGCCACCTGCAGGAGGCAGCAGTTGCTATAACCAGAGTGGAGTGCAGAGTGTGCCCCTACCCCCACCCCTGCCCCTGCCCACAGGCAGCACAACCAGAGCAAAGCCCATTTGGGAGGGTGAGGTGGGGGTGGGGAGGGAAAATGGAGAATGTGGCTGCCCAGAGGCTCCCTGCCCTGCTGCCCCCTACCCACAAGGGCCTCTGCAGCCCAGCAGGCAGGACCCTCTGTCCATATGGCAGCAGTGGTGGCAGCGGGCAGCTGTGCTCTCCGCTGCTGCTGGGCAAGCAAGGAGCTCCTTGCCATGGAGGCGCAGCCAGCATGGGACTTACAACTGTGGCACCAAGCCTGCCTGACCCTTTCTGCTCCTGTGCCAGGTCCTGCCCGCTGGACTATGGAGACCCCCAGGGGAGGGCAGCAGGGCGGCTTGAACCCAACAGAGGGCATCCTGCATCTGCCCCCATGCATCCCTCCCTGAGACTGCAGGCAACATAGGCAGACAGCCCCCTGGATGAGTTGCCCATGGCTCCATCCTGCTCCCCCAACCGGGCCCTGCATTCCCACCCCAGCCCCAGCCCTGCCCTATTCCTCTCACCGTGGAGGCCTTAATCTGTGTCATCTCCCACTTAGACCTACCTGGAGGGAGCTGCTCTCCATGCTGCTTGACTACTACATGCATGTGTGCACGTGGTGTCCCCTGCCTGTGATCGCCCTCCTCCCACACACCCCAGCTCCAAGCAGCTATTTTAAAGGAGAAAATCTGCATTTTTCTGTAGCAAACAGAAAACACAGATCCTTGGTAATTTATATAAACCTATATTTACCTGCTCTCTAATGACTTGTTTATAATGAGTCACAATGTTGTCATGTTGTTCCAACGTCTTCTTTACTTCCTCTTCCTTTTTGTCTTCTTCACTAGACTTGTAAATAGCCTTTGTTATGACACCTGTCAAAAAACTGAGTATTTGTTATTCAGAACAGTCTGCACATTTTCTGTTCTTTTAACATTCCCACAGCCTCAATTTAAATCATTACTTTGTTGGAAAGAGACAACTTCTTTTTTTTCAAGTTCTTAGTCACTCATACTTATTTAAAATGAAGAAATCAAGGAAGTTTGTAAAAACTGACATCAGAACACTTGAGCTTTTTGCTACTTTGAGTCTTAAATAATACTGCTATCTATCCCTTTTCTTGACAAATGTATGTTCTGTCTGCATAAGATATTCACTAACGCATCCCTTCCTGACAACATATATGGACAGCTAGAAGGCTGGGAACTGCTGTAAGGCCATGCAAGTTAAACCTGATTAGTTATTTTTATGCCTACTAAAAAAAATAATTCTTTAGGAATAAAAATTATTATTTCCCCCAATACCCATTCAACTAGTATTACCAACTGGGAAGCTGACTGAGTGTCAACCACCCTACCCCTTTCACAAGAAACTAAGAAAGTTTGAAGGCTTTTTTTTTTTTAATCCCTACTGTAATTTTCTTAGTGTAAAATGTACCCAAATATTCCCAAACATGGTTTTTAGATCTCCTTTATTCCATATAAGCAGTCAAAGAGGGCACAAACTCCACTTTCTCACACATAATTTGTAAGGATAAATAATGCATAGTAAATCACTAGGAAAGATGACTTTCTGGTTGCTGCCTTCAGAAATAAGCCTTGTGGTACCATACAAAAAACAAGCTCATTGACTATCACTACTAATAGTGAGATCCTTCTTTTACAGAAAACACAGTCAGTTGTCAGTTTAACAGTCTTACAAGGCCAGATGATGTTACACCCCCCCCCCCCCCCCCCCCCCCC